TCGTCCAGTGAACCTGTATGTACATTCGTTCTGTGTGAATTACCCAGCATTCCTTCATTAGGGATTTTTGCACAACGTAGAAAGCTATACCTGTTGTAAGAATGGGGAAAAGTCAAATGTTCTTATGGTATTTTCTCTTTGAATCAAACGTTCTTTTGTTTTTTTCTCTCTTGATTGAAGGGTATTTTCTATTTTCATCAAATGTGCTTAATGTATTTTTTTTTTTAGGATTTATGTGTGGCGGAAAACTAACACTGTGCATCACCCTGAACACACCATCCCCACTGTGAAACATGGTGGAGGCAGCATCATGTGGTGGGGATGCTTTTCTTCAGCAGGGACAGGGAAGCTGGTCAGAGTTGATGGGAAGATGGATGGAGCCAAATACAGGGCAATCTTAGAAGAAAACCTGTTAGAGTCTGCAAAAGACTTGAGACCGGGGCGGAGGTTCACCTTCCAGCAGGACAATGAACCTGAACTTACAGCCAGAGCTACAATGGAGTGGTTTAGATCAAAGCATATTCATGTATTAGAATGGCCCACTCACAGTCCAGACCTAAATCCAATTGAGAATCTGTGGCAAGACTTGAAAATTGCTGTTCCCAGACGCTCTCCATCCAATCTGACAGAGCTTGAGCTATTCTGCAAAGAAGAATGGGCAGAAATGTCCCTCTCTAGATGTGCAAAGAGACATCCCCAAAAAGACTTGCAGCTAGAATTACAGCCAAAGGGGGTCCTACAAAGTATTGACTCCGGGGGGCTGAATACAAATGCACACCAGTGGCATCACAAGAGGGGTGCCACACCGGGTGACGCCATCACAGGGGGTGACACTAAAATGAAAAGAAGAGCTGTCAGTGGCTGTCATGCATCCGAGCAGAGTGTCCCCCGTCCTCTCCCCGGTACCGGGGCTCCTCATCCCTCCTGCAGCCCCAGGAGCAGCCGTGCCATGCGGGGGGTGAGATGTCAGGGTGTCCGATCCCTGGGATCACAGCGGCTGCTGCAGGCCAATTCATACCCAGATCTCTGATTGGACGGCTCCTACTCTACATGTCAGTCCAGGAATGGTAACGACTCCGCCCAGAGCCCGCCCCTCTGCATCACTCATCACTGGCCGGTCCCTGCACAGGACATCCTTCTGTCTTCCAACACAGAGCCTGGGACTGGAGTGACACCACATTTTACCACACCGGGTGACACCAACCTAGGGATGCCTCTGATGCACGCCACACTTTTTGCAAATTTATTTGTAAAAAATATTGAAAACCATTTTTCCATCTCCCAACACAGAGCCCTGGATTGGGGTGACACCACATGTTACCGCACTGGGTGACACCAACCCTAGGGACGCCTCTGATGCGTGCCACACATTTCACAGATTTTGTAAAAAATATTGTAAACCATTTCTCATTTTCCTTCCACTTCACAATTCTGTGCCACTTTGTGTTGGTCTATCACATAAAATCCCAATAAAATACATTTACGTTTTTGGTTGTAACATGACAAAATGTGGAAAACTTTTGGGGGGGTGTGAAGACTTTTTCAAGGCACTGTAAATTTTACATTATGGTATGTGGGACTATGCTGGGATATTAGGTACTCTCCTATAGAAGTCAGTCTGACAATAATGGGGTTTTTTTTTGTGTTTGAAAAGAATTCCAGAATATATATTAGCTATAAAGATGTAAGATGATAGTGTCTCCAAATACCACCCAAACTGTCCTCTCCGCTCCTCGCACGACCTCCTGCTCTCTAGCTCCCTTGTCTCCTCCTCCCATGCTCATCTCCAGGACTTCTCCAGAGCTTCCTCCATCCTCTGGAACTCTCTACCCCAATCTATCAGACTATTGCCTACTCTGCTAACATTTAGGCGATCTCTGAAAACCTCTCTCTTCAGGGAAGCCTATCCTGCCCTCAGCTAATAATGGAATCTCCTACTCTTCCAACCAGTCCATCCCCCACAGTTATTACCGTTTGTACCCCTAGCCCCTCCCTCTTAGATTGTAAGCTCCCAGGATCAGGCCCTCCTATCCCTCTTGTATTGAACTGTATTGTTGCTGTATTGTCTCCCGTTATATTGTAAAGCGCTGAGCAAACTGTTGGCGCTATATAAATCCTGTATGATAATAATAGTGTGTGTCACTGGGGTGAGACATTAGAGTGCAAGCTCCTATGGCACACATATTGACACCAATGGTTTTTTGTGCATGCTATACAATTCCAGAATATATATTAGCTATAAAGATGTAAGATGATACTGTCTCCAAATATCACCCAAACCGTACTCTCCGCTCCTTGCATGACCTCCTGCTCTCTAGCTCCCTTGTATCCTCCTCCCATGCTCATCTCCAGGACTTTTCCAGAGCTTCCCCCATCCTCTGGAACTCTCTACCCCAATCTATCAGACTATCGCCTGCTCTGCTCAATCATAGGCAATCTCTGAAAACCCATCTCTTCAAGAAGCCTATCCTGCCCTCAGCTAATAATGGAATCTTCTACTCTTCCAACCAGTCCATCCCCTACAGTTACTACCTTTTGTACCACTAGCCCCTCCCTCCTAGATTGTAAGCTCCCAGGATCAGGCCCTCCTATCCCTCTTGTATTGAACTGTATTGTTGCTGTATTGTCTCCCGTTATATTGTAAAGCGCTGAGCAAACTGTTGGCGCTATATAAATCCTGTATAATAATAATAATAGTGTGTCTCACTGGGGTGAGACATTAGAGTGTTAGCTCCTATGGCACACATAGTGACTCCAATGGTTTTTTGTGCTTGCTATACAATTCCAGAATATATCATTGCAATAATGATGGAAGATTACAGTGTGTGTCACCGTGGTGGGACATGAAATGACAAACTGCTGGTGGTAACGACGTATGGAAATGGCTCTGCATCCTCTATAGACCTCTGTATGTCGGGGAATCATTGTAACGTTCTTGTTTCTGGCTGTGGTGGGGACAGGGGTGGACTGACAACTCATGGGGCCCCCCCCGGGCAATAGGGGATCATGGGGCCCCTGTGTCCTTGCCCAAACTAAAAAAAAACCTATGAAAAAGGTACCAGGGGCATCTCATGGGGCCCCCTACTGACCCCGGGCCCTCGGGCAGTGCCTGAGTTTCCAAATGGTCAGTCTGCCCCTGGTTCCATCCACTTAGTAGGTGAAATCAGGAATTCAAACAATAAAAACTCCTATTTTATACCACATTTTTCATTATGGATATGAAAGCTCTCATCTACAGGGCGCACCTGTGCCATCCAGTGTATACAGCAGACTGGGTCTGGTAAAGGGCAGCATTAAACCAGATGGGTCTAGTACAAGGAGGGGGAGGGGGGGTCAAAGTTCCCTCGCTCAGCCAGCAATCTGTGTAGTATGATCTCTCCTGCTTTTTAGGTCTTTTCACAGCTTAGTAGAACATCAGCTTCCAACTTTCAGAAAATTAGCCTCCAGAGTCCCCCCTTACATCAGGGTCCCCATCAGAGTCTCTCCTTACATCATCTTACATCAGGGTCCCTTCTCTCCCTTACATCAGGGTCCCTGATCAGAGTCCTTCCTTACATCAGGGTTCCCATCAGAGTCTCCCTTACATCAGGGTCCCTGACAGAGTCCTTCCTTACATCAGGGTTCCCATCAGAGTCTCCCTTACATCAGGGTCCCTGACAGAGTCCTTCCTTACAGCAGGGTTCCCATTAGAGATTCCCTTACATCAGGGTCCCTATCAGAGTCTCTCCTTACATCAAGTCTCCCATCAGAGTTTCCTTACATCAGGGTCCCCATCAGAGTTCCTCCTTATCATCCCCAGGAGTCCCCTTATCATCAGGGTCCCTATCAGAGTTCCCCTTACATCAGGGTCCCCATCAGAGTCCCTTCCTTACATCAGGGTCCCTATCAGAGTCCTCCCTTACATCAGGGTCCCATCAGAGTCTTTTTTACATCAGGGTCCCCATCAGAGTTCCTCCTTACATCAGGGTTCCCATCAGAGTCTCCCTTACATCGAGTCCCCATCAGAGTTCTTCCTTACATCAGGGTCCCATCAGAGTCCCCTTACATCTTACATCAGAGTCTCTCATCAGAGTCTCCCTTACATCAGGGTCCCCATCTTACATCAGTCCCTTCTTACATCAGGGTTCCCATCAGAGTCCTCCCTTACATCAGGGTTCCCCATCAGAGTCCCCCTTACATCAGGGTTCCCATCAGAGTCCCTTCCTACATCAGGTTCCCCATCAGAGTCCCTCCTCCCTTACATCAGGGTCTCCCCCTGACAGAGTCCTTCCTTTACATCAGGGTTCCCATCAGAGTCCCCCTTGCATCAGGGTCCCTATCAGAGTCCCTTCAGGGTTTACATCAGGGTTCCCATCAGAGTCCTCTTACCTTGCATCAGGTCCCCCATCAGTCCCTATCAGAGTCCCTCCTTACATCAGGGTCTCCCCATCAGAGTCCTCCCATCTTCATCATGAGGGTCCCGAACAGAGTCCTTGTTTAAATCACGGTTCCCTTCAGAGTCTCCCTTACATCAGGGGCTCCTTTACATCAGAGTCCCCTTCTCCTTATCAATCAGGTCTCCATCAGAGTCCCTCCTTACATCAGGGTCCCTATCAGATCTTACATCAGGTTCCCACCCCCCTCCTTACATCAGGGTCCCATCTGAGTCCCTCCTTACATCAGAGTGGTCCCATCCTATGATCCTTGCTTCCCTCCTTACATCAATCTCCCATCAGAGTCTCCCTTACATCAGAGTCAACCTTCCCTCTTACATCAGGGTCCCATCAGAGTCTCCCTTACATCAGGGTCCCTATCAGAGTCCCCTTCCTTACATCAGCGTTCCCATCAGAGTCCATCCTTCAGAGTCCCTCCTTACATCATCACGGTCCCTATCAGAGTCCCTCCTTACATCAAGTCTCCCATCAGAGTCTCCCTTACATCACGTCCCTATCAGAGTTCCTCCTTACATCAGGTTCTCATCAGAGTCTCCCTTACATTAGGGTCCCTGACAGAGTCCTTCCTTACATCAGGGTTCCCATCAGAGTCTCCCTTACATCAGGGTCCCTATCAGAGTCCCTCTTTACATCAGGGTTCCCACCAGAGTCCCTCCTTACATCAGGGTCCCTATCAGAGTCCCTCCTTACATCAGGGTTCCCATCAGAGTCCCTCCTTACATCAGGGTCCCTATCAGAGTCCCTCCTTACATCAGGTTCCCACCAGAGTCCCTCCTTACATCAGGGTCCCTATCAGAGTCCCTCCTTATATCAAGTTTCCCATCAGAGTCCCTCTTTACATCAGGGTCCCTATCAGAATCCTTGCTTACATCAGGGTCCCTATCAGAGTCCCTCCTTACATCAGGGTTCTCACCAGAGTCCCTCCTTACATCAGGGTCCCTATCAGAGTCCCTCCTTACATCAGGGTTCCCATCAGAGTCCCCCTTACATCAGAGTCACCATCAGAGTTCCTCCTTACATCAGGTTCCCATCAGAGTCCCTCCTTACATCATGGTCCCTATCAGAGTCCCTCCTTACATCAAGTCTCCCATCAGAGTTTCCCTTACATCAGGGTCCCCATCAGAGTCCCTCCTTACATCAGGGTCCCTATCAGAGTCCTTCCTTACATCAAGTCTCCCATCAGAGTCTCCCTTACATCAGGGTCCCCATCAGAGTCCCTCCTTACATCAGGGTCCCTATCAGAGTCCTTCCTTACATCAGGATCCCTGTGATGAACTCTGGACACCCTGACTGGGTATCTCTGCCAAGAAGATGCTTCCCAAGCTCTGGAGCACGAGGCAAGTGACTATAGTCGTAGCTACCCCAAAGAACTAGGCAATATCGATCTTTGCAGTAAACAAGAACCAGGGGTGGACTGCCAACTCATGGGGCCCATGGGCAATAGGGCCCCTGTGTCCTTGATCACAATCAAAGCACACCCAAAAAAGCCTATAAAAAGGTACCAGGGGCATTTCATGGGGCCCCCTACTGACCCCGGGCCCTCGGGCAGTGCCAGAGTGCTCGAATGGTCAGTTCGACCCTGACAAGAACTGTTTTATTAGAGAAACACATTGAATTTATACAGAAAACCCTCAGATAAGAGCTCATCACAATGACAAGGCACCCCATTCTAAAATATAAAAAAAGAAACATTTTACAGAATGCAGAATCATTCACACATGTCCCTCCTTACATCAGCGTCCCCATCAGAGTCCTTCCTTACCAGGGTCCTCATCAGAGTCCCTCCTTACATCAGGGTCCCTACCAGAGTCCCTCCTTACATCAGTCTCCCCATAAGAGTCCTTCATTACATCTGGGTCTCACTCAAAGTCTCCCCTTACATTAGTATCTCCATCAGCATCCCTATAAAGCCAGCCATAGATCAAGTGATTTTCTTTCCCCTATCAAAACTGGAGGAATCTTTCTCATGGAGCCGTTGTGTTCGCCCGGAAGTGGGGGGAGCCGTCCCCGCAGGGAGAATGCATTGATTACTGCTCTCAAAAATCAGCCAAGCGCAATCATTCCTACATATATATGAGCTGTAGCGCTGTACACACTCATGTGTTCCCAGAAGTTGAAAAAACAAATCTATATAAAAACAGTGCCACACAATACTATGTGCAAAAATCAAACAAAACACCATAACATTTCCTGGTAGCGGTGTGACGTCACCAGCTCCACCCAACGCGTTACGTCAATCACGTGACTTCTTCAGTTATGCATTGATTACTGCTCTCAAAAATCAGCCAAGCGTACCCAGGCACAATCATTCCTACATATATATGAGCTGTACCACTGTACACACTCATGTGTTCCCAGAAGCTGAAAAAACAAATCTATATATAAAGAGTGTCGCACAATACTATACGCAAAAAAAATCAAACAAAACACCATAACATTTCCTGGTAGCGGTGTGACATCACAGGCTCCACCTAATGTGTTACGTTAATCACGTGACTTCTTCAGGTATCCCTGAAGAAGTCACGCGATTGACATAATGCATTGGGTGGAGCCGGTGACGTCACACCACTACCAGGAAATGTTATGGTGTTTTGTTTGATTTTTGAGGTAACGTGTTGGGTGGAGCAGGTGACATCACACCGCTACCAGGACGTGTGCGAGCACCCATTTTCTCATGTTCTGTAACCCTGATACGTTGCCGCACAGTACTATGTGCAAAAAATCAAACAAAACACCATAACATTTCCTGGTAGCAGTGTGACGTCACCAGCTCCACCCAATGCGTTACGTCAATCACGTGACTTCTTCAGGTGCCCCTGAAGAAGTCACACAATTGACGTAACGTGTTGGGTGGAGCCGGTGACATCACACCGCTGCGAGCACCCATTTCTCACAAGGACGTGTGCGAGCACCCATTTTCTGGTCGGTGTGCTCCACCCAATGTTCTGTAACCCCGATACTTTGCCGCACAGTACTATGTGCAAAAAATCAAACAAAACACCATAACATTTCCTGGTAGCGGTGTGAGGTCACCGGCTCCACACAATGCATTACGTCAATCACGTGACTTCTTCAGGGATACCTGAAGAAGTCACGTGATTGACGTAACACATTGGGTGAAGCCGGTGACGTCACACCGCTACCAGGAAATGTTATGGTGTTTTGTTTGATTTTTTGCACATACGAAAATACGGATCATTTGTTTTTCAATATTTTTCTATCCTTTGCAAATTGACTGCTTTATTGTACGTTTAGTTATTTGGATTATACTTTGCCTTATAATTTGCACCATATTTATAGCGCTGCACTATTTTTTACATACTTTCTAGGCCTGGTCTTCGGTTCATTGCTATTCAAAGTTCTATCAGGTGGATCCAGCTTTTGGAGTTGGGTTCTTGACCCTTGACTGTCTGGTTTGGCCCTTTCGCACAGTTCTGTTTGCTTAGTTGCAGTTGTTGGCCACCTGTCAGGGCTTCGGGTATGACCAAAGGTGTGTGGACTGACACAGGGAAACGCAGATCTGTTTGCTTAGTTGTAGTTGTTGGCCACCCTTTTTATTTATAACTTGAGGACATCCCAACTTTGTAGGCTACACCTTACCAGCCATACTACTTTGTAGGCCTGGTCTTTAGTTCATTGCTTTTCAAAGTTCCAGGTGGATCCAGCTTTTGGAGTTGGGTTCTTGACCCTTGACTGTCTGGTTTGGCCCTTTCGCACAGTTCTGTTTGCTTAGTTGTAGTTGTTGGCCACCCTTTTTATTTATAACTTGAGGACATCCCAACTTTGTAGGCTACCACCTTTACAAAGTAGGCCTGGTCTTTAGTTCATTGCTTTTCAAAGTTCACCAGGTGGATCCAGCTTTTGGAGTTGGGTTCTTGACCCTTGACTGTCTGGTTTGGCCCTTTCGCACAGTTCTGTTTGCTTAGTTGTAGTTGTTGGCCACCCTTTTTATTTATAACTTGAGGACATCCCAACTTTGTAGGCTACCACCTTAACAGCCATACTACTTTGTAGGCCTGGTCTTTAGTTCATTGCTTTTCAAAGTTCTACCAGGTGGATCCAGCTTTTGGAGTTGGGTTCTTGACCCACTCTGTGCCCTTCTTTTTGAAGACATACTGGGGATATGGGATGGATGGGGGGTCATTTTGCTAGAGTACAGCTTTAAGCACGCAACACTTTTTTGGCCAGTTAGCGCAAGACTAAATGATTATCCAATCTAGAGTGTTATATAAGGCTCAATCCCCCCTGGAATAAATGGAAACTGTGAGTATTGAGCTGATGTTTTTATTTGTCAAAGCCACAAACTCCTGGCTACAGTGAAGGCATTGTATTCTGTTTTCTCTTTTGGCAGAAAAAAATATTTATGACCTTCTGGAGACGCGCAGAAAATAACACAAACCAAAGCTGTTTATTTACACGCTAAAAGAATCCGTGTTTTCAGGCAACAGGAAAGGCCGAGTCAGGATGTGAGCGTGATCTCGAATTACACACTTGGCGTACTTCTGGGGGACTTCCTCTCCTGTTGTGGGTGGCGGCACGACTGTCACTTTTTCCTGGCATTTAATAATCATGCCAAGAGTGCAAAATAAAAAACAAGTCATGGAATAAAATCCCTTATAGGGGTGAAAGAGGCACCATTCATGAAGTAGAGTCCTAGACAGCGAGGATGGTAGTATACCAGGAATCTGGGCCCTTGAGGGCCTATTCAGACCTTGGCATCTGGGTGCTTTGCTTTAAGGCAACTCATTCAAATAAATGTTCCAAAAAAAATAAACATGCATCATTTTTGGCAAGGCACCACAACACGCGGTAGTGCATTGCTGTACATTGTGGTGTGCCACAATTCATGTGCATTGTAGATGCATTGCTTTAGTGCAATGGTCTCTAAATTGTGGCCCGGGGGCTGGATGTGGCAATTTGCTTGCCTTTATTTGTCCCTTGGGGCACTATTTTTCCCATTTATATAAGATTCTATTCCTCCAACTAACACCAACAATGGGACATACAGTAATTGCTGCCACTGACACCAACAATTGTTCATAATTCCTGCCACTGACACCAACAATGGGGCACTATTCCTCCCACTGACACCAACAATGGGGCATAATTTCAGCCACTGACACCAAAACTGGGGCATCATTTCTGCTACTGACACCAACAGTGGGGCATAATTCCTGTCACTGACAACAACAGTGAGGCATAATCCCTGTCATTGACACCAGCGATGGGGCACTATTCTTCCCACTGACACCAACAATGGGGCATTATTCCATTCACTATTCCATCCCCTGACACCAAAGATGGGGTACTATTCCTCCCACTAACAGCAACAATTGTCCATAATTTCTGTCACACATACCAACAATGGGGCACTATTCCTCCCACTGACACCAGCAATCTGGCATAATTTCTGCCACTGACACCAACAATGGGGCACTATTCTACCCACTGACATCAACAATGGGGCATAATTTCTGCCACTGACACCAACAATGGGGCATAATTCCTGTCACTGACACCAACAATGGGGCATAATTCCTGTCACTGACACCAACAATGGGGCATAATTTCTGCCACTGACACCAACAATGGGGCATAATTCCTGCCACTGACACCAACAATGTGGCATAATTCCTGTCACCGACAACAACAGTGAGGCATAATCCCTGTCATTGACACCAGCGATGGGGCACTATTCTTCCCACTGACACCACCAATAGGGCATTATTCCATTCACTATTCCATCCCCTGACACCAATGATGAGGTACTATTCCTCTCACTAACAGCAACAATGGGGCATAATTCCAGTTACATACATCAACAATGGGGGATTATTCCATTCACTATTCCATCCTCTTACACCACTGATAGGGGACTATACCTCCCACTGACACCAACAACGGGGCACTATTCTATTCACTATTCCATCCTCTTACACCAATGATGGGGTACTATTCCCCTCCCACTGACACCAACAGTGGGGCATAATTCCTATGACTGACACCAACGATGGGGCACTATTCCTCCCACTGACACCAACAGTGGGGCATAATTCCTATGACTGACACCAATGATGGGGCACTATTCCTCCCACTGACACCAATGAAAAGGTATACAGTAGTTAACTCTCACACTAGGGCATTTTCTTTTCTCAATGGCCACAGTCCGGCCCCCTAAATCCTGAAGAACAGTAAGCTGGTC